AGAGCCCTTTGTTACTATTGTTAATTGTTCTGGAGCACCACGAACCACACCCATATGACATTTAACATAATCAAAAAATGACAAATGTGTTTCTTCTAACTGTTCCATGACCAGTCATTGCCCTATCTCTTTCTCTTGGGCCACTCTATTTCCTGAGACACAAAAGTATTGAAATTACGCCAATTAATAACTCTACAATAGCTTCTAGGATTTCAAGTGAAAAGAGTGACACATCTTTCACTTTAAATCAAAAGCTAGAAATGATTACACTTAGTGAGGAAGGTATGTTGAAAACCGAGATAGGCCAAAAATGAGCTAAGCCTCTTGAGGCCAACAGCTGGCCAAGTGCAGCCAAGTTGTGAATGCAAAAAACCACAAAAAGTCTTTGAAGGAAATTAAAAGGGCTACTCCAGGGGCGCCTGGGTGGCTCAGTCGGTTAAGCGGCTGCCTTCGACTTGGGTCGTGATCCCAGGGTCCCGGAATCGAGCCTCACATAGGGCTCCTTGCTCAGCAGGAAGCCTGCGAGAATTCTCCCCTGCCTGCCATTCCCCCTGCTTGTGCTTGCTCTCTCTGTCAAATAAATAAAATCTTTAAAAAGTAAAAATAAAATAAAATAAATAAAAAATAAAATAAGAGTGCTATTCCAGTGAACACACAAATGATAAGAAAGCAAAACAGCCTTACTACTGATAGAGAGAAAGTTGTAGTGGTCTGCATGGAAGATCAAAGTGTCCCCAAAGTTCCCTTAAGGCAAAACCTAATCCAGAGCAAGGGTCTAACTGTCTCCAATTCTAGGAAGGCTGAGAGAGGTGAGGAATCCGCAAAGACAAGGTGAAAGTTAGCAGAGGTTGGTTCCTGAGGTTGAAGGAAAGAAGCCATCTCCATACCATCAAAATACAAAGTGCTGATGCAAAAGCTGTAGTTAGTGATCCAGAAGATCTAGCTAAGATCATTCATGAAGGTGGCTACACTAAACAACAAATTTTCAATGCAGACAAAACAGCCTTCTATTGGAAGATGCCATCTAGCACTTTCCGAGCTAGAGACATCAAGCCTGGCTTCAAAAGGACAGGCCAACTCTCTTGTTAGGGGCCAGTGCTCATTTATCATTCTGAAAGTCCTCGGACCCTTAAGAATTATGCTGAATTTACTCTGCCTGAGCTATAAATGGAAAAACAAAGCCTGGATGACAGCACCCTGTTTATAATATGGTTTACTGACTATTTTAAGCATACTGTTGAGACGTACTGCTCAGAAAAAAAGATTTCTTTCAAAATATTACTGGTCATTGACAAAGCACCTGGTCACCCAAGAACTCTGATGGAGATGTACAACATTAATGTTTTCATGCCTGCTAACACAATATCCATTCTGTAGCCCATGTAGCCCAAATAATTGACTTTTTTTTTAAGATTTATTTATTTGAGAGCGAGAGTGTGCACACGCACATGAGCAGGAGGAATAGAGGGAGACAGAATCTCAAGCAGACTCCCAGGTGAGCTTGGAGTCCGAAGTGGGGCTTGAACTCACAACCCTGAGATCATGACCTGAGCTGAAACCAAGAGTCAGACACAACCAACTGTGCCATCCAGGCACCCCAATTTTGACTTTCAAGTCTTATTATTTAAGAAATACAATTTGTTGAGAACAACCTTGTGTCGGGCTCCACACTCAGCAGGGAGTCATACTTAGTAAGACCTTCTCCCTATACTCCTGCCACCCCCCATACGCTCATGTGCTCTCCCATGCTCTCAAATAAATAAATAAATCCTAAAAAAAAAAAAGAAAGAAAGAAAGAAAGAAATACAACTTGTAAGGCCAGGGCTGCCATAGTGGTTTTTCTGATAGATCTAGGCAAAGGAAATCGAAACCTTATGGAAAGGATTCAACATTCTAGCTGCCATTCATGGGTGGCAGAGGTCAAAGTATCAACAGGAGTTTGGAAGTTGATGCCAACCCTCATGGATGACTCTGAAGGGTTTAAGACTTCCGTGGAGAAAGTAACTGCAGATATGATAGAAATGGCAAGAGAATCAGAATTAGAAGTGGAGCCTGGGGGCATCAGATGGCTCAGTTGGTTGAGCATCCAACTCTTGATTTCGGCTCAGGTCATGGTCTCAGGGTCCTGGGATCGAGCCCTCCACTCAGCATGGAGTCTGCTTGTCCCTCTCCCTCTGTTCCTCCTCCCATGCTCTTGCTCACTCTCTCACAAATAAATAAATAAAATCTTAAAAAAAAAGGAAAAAAAAATGGAGCCTGATAATATGATTGAATTACTGCAAGTTCATGATAAAATCTGAATGAATATAAGGCTGATAAATCACAGACCTGTATCCCTGAAACAAATAATACATTATATGTTAATTAACTGAATTTAAATTTTAAAAAATTAAAGTTAAAAATTTTTGAATGGATGAGAAATTGCTTTGTATGGATGAGCAAAGAAAGTTTATTCAGATGGAATCTAAAATTTAAAAACATGTTTTAAAAAACACTGTATTTAATTATACTAGAATTAAATTTTTTTTTTTAAATTCAAGAAAAAGAGATGGAATCTACTCCTGGTGAAAATGCTGTGAGGATTATGGAAATGGCAACAAAGAATTGAGATTATTGCATAATCTTAGTTGATAAAGCAGGAACATGGTTTGAGAGGACTGATTTTAATTCTGAAAGAAGTTCCACTGTGGGTAAAAAAACAGCATCATATGCTACAGAGAAATCACTTATGAAAGAAAGAGTCAATTAACAGAGCAAGCTTCATTGTTGTCTTAAGAAATCACCACAGCTGCCCTAAACTTGCAAGGTACCACCCTGACCAGTCAGCAGCTATCCATATCAAGGCAAGACCCTTCACCAGCAAAAAAGATACTTGCTGGAATTTCAGATGATGGTAGCATTTTTCAGCAGTAAAATATTTTTAAATGTACATTTTTTTTTTAGACATAAAGCTCTGGGACACTTAGTAGACTATAGTATAAACAGGAGCACCAGGCAGTTCAGTCAGTTAAGAGTCTTTTTTTTTTTTTTTTTTTAAGATTTTATTTAGGGACGCCTGGGTGGCTCAGTCAGTTAAGTGGCTGCCTTCGGCCCAGGTCACGATCCCAGGGTCCTGGGATCGAGTCCCACATCAGGCTCCTTGCTCAGCAGGGAACCTGCTTCTCCCTCTCTCTCCCTCTGCTTGTGCTCTGTCAAAAAAATAAAATCTTTAAAAAAAAAAAAAAAGATTTTATATATTTGACAGAGAAAGACACAGCGAGAGAGGGAACACAAGCAGGGGGAGTGGGAGAGGGAGAAGCAGGCTTCCCGCTGAGCGGAAAGCCTGATGTGGGGCTCAATCCCAGAACCCTGGGATCATGACCTGAGCCAAAGGCAGGCGCTTAATGACTGAGCCACCCAGGCGCCCCAAGAGTCCAACTCTTGATTTCAGCTCAGGTCATGATCTCAGTGTCATGAGATTGAGCCCTGCATTAGGCTCTGTGCTAAGTGTGAAGCGTGCTTAAGATTCTCCCTCTCTCTCTACTCCTCCCTGCCCACTTGCTCTCTCTCTAAAACCAAACAAAAAAAGATTACAGTGTAATAAACATAACTTTTGTATGTACTGGAATAACAAAAAATTCATTTGACTTGCTTTATTGTGATGTTTGCTGTATTGTGGTGGTCGGGAACCAAACCCAAAATATCTCTGGAATATGCCTGTAGAATATGAGGAGCTGGGGTGTGAGGGAAATGGGGAGACAGTGGTCAAAAAGTACAAATGTTCACTTATAAGATGAAAAAGTTTGGGTGCCTGGGTGGCTCAGTCGGTTAAGCATCTGCCTTTGGCTCAGGTCATGATCTCAGTCCTGGGATTGAGCCCCGCATTGGGCTCCCTGCTCAGTGGGGAGTCTGCTTCTCCCTTCCCCACCCCACCACTCATGCCCTCTCTCTCACTCACTCCCTGAAATAAAATCTTTAAAAAATAAAAAAAAATTAAAAAGATTAAAAAGTTATGAAGATGTAACATACAGCATGGTGACTATAGTTAATAATGATGTTGTATATGTGAAATTTACTGAGAGTAGATTTGAGCATTTCTACAAAAAAAATATAATTTTATGAGGTGGTAGATATTTAATGAACTTCAGTTGTGGAAATTATATTACAATGTATGCATATATCAAATCATCACACTGTGCACTTAATTTTTTTTAATATATATATTTTTAAAGATTTTATATATTTGAGAGAGAAAGAGAGCATGGGGAGGATGAAAGAGGGACAAGCAGATGCCATGCTGATTTCAGCTGCAGCCGGACTCAGGGCTTAATCCCACAATGCCGAGATCCTGACCTAGCCGAAACCAAGAGCTGGATGCTCAACTGACTGAGCCACCCAGCACACCCTGTGCACTTTTATATAATTTTATATCTCCAGAAAGCTGGGGGGAAAAAAGAAAATGCACCTAAACTACAAACCTTGCAGGAGTGTGTTGAAAAGTAGCCTATGGTTCAGGTAAGTAGTGACTATGACAATGCATGCAAACCTGGCACAAGCAGACACAAGGAAAAGTCAGTTAAAAGAAGAGATCAAAAACTGGAAAACAGAGGCTGGCTCAGTCAGTAGAGCACGCAATTCTTGATCTCAGGGTTGTGAGTTCAAGCCCCAAGGGTATACAGCTTACTTTAAAAACAAACAAACAAACAAATGCTGGGATACAGAAGTGACATGGAGCTGTACACACTGATCCAAACAAAGGACAAGCATGGCGGAATCCATTAAGCTCACTAAAAATCTATTAACCTTGAATCCTTTCCTAAGAGCGTTCAGTATAGCAGTTATTGAGGCTTCAGGGGAGAGGAGACGGCAGTGCAAATAAACCAGCCCTATCAACATAGCAATCACCCAGTAAGCTGAGAAGCAAGCAGTGCCCATGGTCCACACGTGAGAAACACTGAGAAATGGTGGGTGGGGAGGGAATAGAGCCTACTTCAGGCCACTGTGGAGGGTGAGGGCCTTACCCAGTGAGGATATAAGTGTAAAGTTCTCCAGCATCACATCGTGGTACAGGCATCTCTGAGCCTCATCAAGGAGCCTCCACTCCTCCCAGGAGAAGTACACAGCAATGTCCTCAAAGGTCACACTATCCTGTTATGATGGGGACAGATGAAACCATGAACATTCTCTGAGTCCCACAATCCATCTCAGCACACTCATCCTCTTTCAGAGGTCCCCACTTCAGAAATGCCATGCCTAGGTGCCACTAATGTCCACCCAACATCAGGTTCTCTTTATTCACTGTGTTCTGCCCTCAGCAACATCAGGCAAGGGAAACAAGAGATGTCATCCAAATCCTTCCTGGCCTCTACGGTCCATACTGTCAATTCCCCCAAAGTCTCTATTTTGAGACTCCCAAAACGCAATGAAATGGCTCATGCTTTACCCTTCAGCTCCAATACCCTGAGGCCCTTGGCTCACACGTCCTCTTGTCGTGCACGTTGTTCTGTAAACTGTACCTCTCTCACATCTTCAGTCCCCACAGCTGCACTCCCATAGCTCTACTTTGGCCAAAGCCCTGAATTCTGCTTTGAAGACCTCCTCTGTACCTCTGATCCTTGCTTCAATACTACCCACCCAGAGGCACTATGAATTATAGATGCCCATGACCCACGTCCATTTCTGTGCTGGACTTGCTGAACCCTCAGCAGTCACACTCCCCGCTCTCCACTCAACCTTCCCTAAAATCCCAGTCCTTATAGTCTCCTTGCCAGGCATAATGATTCTCACAAATGCCTACATTTACCCCAGATCTTATCCACCAGCAAGACCGAAACACCCCAGACCCCATCAAAACTCACCACAAAATTCTGGTAAGTCCATACAGTAGTGAATTAGCAGGAGCCCTGCCTTCGGTTTCATCTTGCCTCAATTACTCCCTTGCCTCTGAAGCCATCTTGCACCCAGACATCCCATGGAAGCTTTAGCCACCTCCCAGATCATCCTCTCTCCCTTGTGTTTCTCATTCTTAGGATCCCAACCAGGTGCTAAGCAAGAGACCCACTTCTCAGCATGCACCCTAGTCTTTCTAACCTGCAAACTGCATTACCACTATAACCTACATTACACTTCCTAACTGTGATCCACAGTTACATCCTGGTCCTCACAATAGCCACTACTTTTTAAAGTCTGCCCCAGACCTATCCACCACTGAGACTGAACACTGCAGACCCCACCAAAGCTCATCACAAAATTCCAGTGAAACTACAGTAGTGAATTAGCAGGAGCCTGGCCTCAGTGTCATCTTGTCTCAATTACTCCCATGCCTCCATAGCCATCTCATATCCACTCATCCCATGGAAGCCTTGATCACCTGCCAAACCATTCTCTCTCCCATATGGTTACCATGATCACTTCCCTCCTTCGCCTGCATTCGTGTGCCCAGGAACACTGATCAGGTGCCCAGCAAGACAATCATTCCTCATCATGCCTCCTCCTCTATCTGACCAGCTAAGGCACTGTCATGATGATGTGCATTCCCCAATCTAAAGGCAATCCACAGCTCCGCCCTGGTCGACACAATAGTCACCACTTATGGATGTCTTCATCCAAAACCTCCTCCCAAGATACCCAGACCTGTGAACCCAGATACCCATTTGCTGTCTCCACTCACAATTCTCTGAAATATCTGAGACTCTTAACAGGACCAAACAAAACTCCTCACAGTCCGAAAGAAAATTAACCTATCATCAATTACCCCATCCCACATGATGGAATTTCCATCCCTTCGGCTTCGAGGACCAAAAACCCTGGCGTCATCCTGGACTCCTCCCTTTCTATCTCTCAACTATGTCAAAAAATCCACCCCTCTTAAAAAAATGGACACAGAGTCCAACTTTTCACCCACCTCTATGGCCACCACTCTGGTCCATCAATGTGGATTATAGCAGCTGCCTCCTCCTGGACTCCTGCCTCCTCCTTTACCCCCATAGTCTGTTATCTTTTCTGCAACCAGATGGACCCTATTAAGACTGAGGTAAGACCACCAGCCCCCTTATCCAAACCTCTCATTACCTACATAACAGATGCCCACATTCTCAGTAGCCACATCAGAGGCCTGATTCTTGACCCTCAGCTCTTTGTTCCTAGCAGGGAGAATGAAAACAGGTTCAAGCGTTTGCACACTTTGGTATTTATTTCTGGGATAACGTCTTACACCTGTTTATACTGGCTGACGGCAACAAGAACACCTGCATGTGACCCTTGGCCTGCACTCAGGACCCCGGGCCTGGGGTATTCTTAGGATGCCCACACCCAGCAGCTGGAAAAACAGCAAGGGAAGAGCCTCAAGACACCACAATCCTGGACACCATACTGGCGCTGTCAAGACCAGTAAGGGACTGAGGCAACCTCTCCTTACTTGTACAGGCTCTCTGAGTGCTTTCACGACCTTCAGAACTTGTGGTTGAGGGGAGGAAACCAGGGTTGGGCCCCACGAGATCAGGCCTCCCCTGCATCCCGCCAAGCCCTGGAACCCAGGGACCTCAGGCTAACTAACCTCTACGCTTCAGTCCGCAGTTACTTCTCCCACCAGCTCAGTGACCTCCGACAGGAACTCCACTCCCGGTGCCCGCTTGTCTTCATCACCCCCATTCCAACCTTTTCTCCCTCGAGCAGCTTTTAAAAGCTGTTAACACCCTAACACGGACTGTGTGCCTCTTCTGTTCACGACCCTCCAGGGCCCTAGGAACGAAGGTACCGCACCTCGGCCCGCCAGTCCAGGCGCGACTCCGCCTCACGCTCTCTGTCCCCTGAGGGCAGCCTCCTCCCGCCTCAGGCCCCCTCCAGCCTCTGCCCCGCCGGCCCCTCGGCCCGGAGCCCGCTCCTCACGCCAGCACGCCGGCGCTCGCACACGGGGCCCCCGCCCACCGCCGCCTCCCCGTCCGACACCGGGGCCTGGGCCGCAGGGACGCGAGCAGCTCGGGCCTTCGGGGTCTGGGGGCGGGGGGGACGGCGGGCGGGCCCGGGGGACGAGCGCTTACCTGAGCCGGGTCCCTGGGCGCGGCCGCCGCCATCGGACTCTGTGGGCGTAGCGGACACCCGGCTCGGCGGTCCCCGGCCCGGCCCGGCGCGGGGCAGCCCGGGCGGCGTCGCCAGCCGCGGACCCGCCTCTCTGCCGTGGGGACAACGACTTCTGCGCCTTGACAGTTCCGTCACTTCAGTCCCGCCCCGGCACGCCCGAGAGCAGCAAAATGGCCGCCACAAGGAGGAGGCCGGAAGTCCCGCCCCTACAGGATGTATTCCCGCGGAAATGCTTCCATTGGCTCAACTCCGCGCACGATTTTCTGGGTATTGTAGTTGGCAACGCTCTAGTGCCCGAGGCAAGGGTTTTTCTCCAGCCTGACCAATCAGAGCATTGGACATGCGGCTCCTCGACGGATGCTGGAAGCCTAGAGGCAAGGGGCGAGAGGATTTGCTCTTTGTGAACTGCAGTGAGGCGGCATAATTTCATACTCGGTAAAAGTCACCCAGCTCCCAGGGGACAATACTGTTACTGAGATGCTCCGAAATCCACCGATCTAAATGGTCATATTATTAGTCATTCAGGCATAAAATAGTCCACGCATAGCTGAAGGCATTTTGTTATTACTATGAAATGCACGTAACCTGATGAATTTGTCAATGTTGTGAGTTCTCTTATGAATGGCTAGGGGCAAGGGAAAAACTTTATACAGGGCCTTGACTGGGAATAAAGAAGAAAGCTGTTAGGCCGCCCTTAAGCCCGCGAACAAGCAGGATCTCTGCCTCTGGCTCCCACAGAAAATCTGTGCCTTACCTGTAGGGTTAGTGATTGTGTCCTACCCATTTTTATCTATACAATATTTCTTACTCAATGTTCTAAGATACACTTGAGAGAACAGAAGGCAAGCTCAGGACCCCACCATGGGATATATATGGAATTTCCTCAGGCATTCCTGGCTGTCCTAAAACAAAGGAAAGGAAAAACAAAGTTAACTTACAGAGACACAATCCTCCAAGACGTGAGTCTTCCTCAGTTTACAAAAGTCTTAGCAATTTACATTTCTATCAATGGCCTAGCTTGAGAAGGAAATGTAGATACAATTAAATGTCCTTATAACCTGGAGCCCATTGACAGATACTTGAAGCGGGCGGAATGTACTGTTCCTCCAGGAAGCTCCCAACTATCTTTATGTTAATACCTTGCTAGAGGGAAAAACAACCTTAACTTGACAATGGCAAGGCCTCTTAAGGGCAGCCTAACATCTTTCCCGGGAGTCTTCTTTAACATATGAAAATCCTTTGAAACCTCCGTCTTCCTTACCTCCCCCAACCCCATACTATATAACCAGCCACCCCTAACAACCCTGGTGTAGCAGCCCTTTCAGCCCCCATGCTTTAATAAAACCACCATTTTGCACCAAAGACGTCTCAAGAATTCTTTCTTGCTCATCGGCTCCAGACCTCACCCCACTGAACCTCCCCTATATTCTAAAACCCAATACACTCAAGTCTATTGAGAAAACTGACATCTATCTCAAATGGAGACCAACCTTTATGCTATTTTAGTTTGGGTCACTGGCTACAACTTTCGCAGTTGCAGGATGTCTAATGCAGAATGTCAGAAACCTCCAGATAAAGGGGCATCTCAATCCCATGTTCTCATGTCCTTGCCGGTAAGTGATTATCATTTATCAGTGATTGCAGGTACAGTTCTGCATGGAGAATTAAGATTATTTTAGCCTGGGTGGCTCAGTCGGTTAAGCACGTCTGTCTTGGCCATCAGCCGGGCCTCAGGCTCCCTGCTCAGCAGGGAGTCTGCTTCTCCCTCTGCTCCTCCCCCCCACCTTATGCTCTCTCTCACTCACTTTCTCACTCTCAAATAAATAAAATCTTAAAAAAAAAAAAGAACACAGGTAGGTAATAGGAAAGAAATTAATTATCTAACAAATAGTACCATAGTCCTACAAGACTGCCCCCTCACTTTAGATGCCAATTGCAAGTTCAGGTTGTTACTTGTGCTTCTGAGCAATTGGCTATAAATCAGAAGTTCTCAAGACTCCCTCCTTGGGTTGGAATAATTTGCCAGAGCAGCTCACAGAACTCTTAGAACATTTACTTACTAGAGTACCAGTTTATTATAAAAGGATATAACCCAGGAAGAGATGCAAAGGGCAAGGTATGGGGAAGGGGAATGGAACTTCCATGCTCCCTCTGAGCGTGCCATTCTCCCCACATCTCCATGTATTCACCTTGGAACCTGAAACTCCATCCTTTTGGATTTTTATGGAAGCTTCATTACATAGGTTTGGTTTTGGTGCCCACCACAATGTCCCAGGAGGACAGCATCATTCCAGCCATGTCCTGCCCTGTGGACCTCTTCCCAAGATTGTCCCAGCTCGTGGGGCCAGAACTGCTCTGGTACCAAATGTGGGGCATCAGCCTCTAGAGGGAGAAGTGTGGACTCGACCTTTGAGCCAGCTGAAAGGACACTGCTTCTGGACTTGAAAGCTGGGATTCAGTGGCTGGTGGCACCTGTGTGCACCTGACCTCTGACATGACAGTGAGGGTCTCCACTTCTGTGAAGAGAGGTAACAAGAGAGCTTAGCATGAAGCTTCAGACCAACCCTGTCCAAGGAGGGCCCCCTAAAAGGACTCAGCCATTTGTATTTTGTATAGTTCTATAGTTTATTGTGATAGGATGGTAGGTCAGACCCTGTTGCTCTGAAGCTCTACCCTGCAAACACATGCGTAGGAAATAAAGCGGATACTGAGAGTTCTAAAGCCTGACTCTCATGACCAGGCTTCTTGTTTGGACTTTGCAAACCGGAGCTAACTTTTGACTTCTAACAGGAGTGGAAACAAAATGGGAACCGCCAAACTAACTCCCTCCAATTTTTAAAAAAGCTGATTTATACTTTTGTAGCATTTTTAGAATTGTATCAGTTGTGTCCCCTTAACTATCTCTTTATATTTTGAGCCTTGTTATTTATGTATTTGGTGAAGAGAGCACATTAAATGAGAGCTGTGTTAGTACCACCACCATAACAACATAACAAAATACCATAGATTGGTTCGCTTAAATAACAGAAATTTACTTTCTCACAGTTCTATATGCTGTAAGTTGAAGATGAAGGTGTCAACAGCTTTGGTGATACATGGTCTGTCTCCTTGGCTTGTGGATAGCCACCTTCTAGCTGTGTCCTCACATGGCCTTTTCCTCCTGGTGTTGATGTCTATTCCTCTTAAAAGGAAGCCAGTTCTAACAGAGTAGGACCCCACCCTAATGACCTCATTTAACCTTAATTAACTCTTTAAAAGCCCTAGCTCTTAATAAAGTCACTTGGGGGTTAGGGCTTCAACATAGAAAAGGATTATATTACTGTTTCAGTGGTAATAAAAGGCAAAGGAGTTACTTAAGTTAGATAATAAATACGCAAAGACCATTCAACTATTTGAAAGTATCTTCCAAATGCCAATGGCTCACAATAGCTTCTAAAAGTGACTTTTATAGAAACACAATTTCCAAAAGGTGCATTCAGTGATATTTATAGTATTTAACTGTAAATGCATTATTTCCAAGTACTTAAAAAAATTTCTATTAAAAGAAATATTAAAAGGTGCTAAAATGTAGAGCTTAATAAAATAAAATGCATTTCTTTCCACTGAGGCTTAGCATTTTATATCATGAGCAATGCTGATTATTTATCCAACCTGATTAAACCCTCATAGACACATCATCTGGCCTAAGAAAAGTTCTGATCAGGGCGCCTGGGTGCCTCAGTCGTTAAGTGTCTGCCTTCAGCTCAGGTCATGGTCTCAGGGTCCTGGGATCAAGCCCCGCATCGGGCTTCCTGCTCCGTGGGAAGCCTGCTTCTCCCTCTCCCACTCCCCCTGCTTGTGTTCCCTCTCTCCCTGTGTCTCTGTCAAGTAAATAAAATCTTTAAAAAAAAAAATTCTCTCTCTCCCTCTGTCCCTTCCTGCTGCTACTCTCTCTCTCTCTCTAAAATAAATAAGTAAAATTATCAAGGATGTTCATGTTTTCTATACACTATAAGAAATCCAAATCAGAGTTATTATCATTATTCAATTTTGAATCAAAATGTCCTGGAAGATTAAATGGTATAAAGCAAGAGCCTACAAATATATAAATTTGACTAAATAAATGATAGGATGTTCTACAGGGGACTTATAGCCCACAAACTGTATTTGGAACATTTGTTTTTTTTGCCCAGCAGGCAAAACAAAACAGAGACCTGGGTGTCACTGCTAAAGCATGAAGGGATGGAATGTCAGGGAGCCTGAAGACACCAGTGCAGAGGTGTTCATCAGACCATGGTGTGGCTTTATAATCAGGGTTATATAACAATATAAAATAGAAAGCAGAGTAAAAGGAGATAAACATCCACCATGATGAGAATTGTGCTCAGAGCTCTGGCCTCGTGGGAAGGTCTAGGGAAAGGTGGTTGCTGGGAATTTGATGGCCTTGCTGCCTGTGCCACTGCAGGTCAGAAATCATGGAGCCACTTGGCAGGCCGTGAAGTTGGGACACATGTTAATGAAGACCAACATGAATGTGTATATTGGAACAGTACATTTTTCTGGAATGTCTGAAAGACAGTATCTATGAATATTTTTGTGTAGTTGTTTTTCCTCTTTCTTGGTCTAGTTCACTCAGAGCAATAAGGAATTTAGCAGGAGTTACAGGACCCAGCAAAGGAAACAGCAAAATCCAGTGCACTTTGGGGACATCATTCTTAGCTCCACCCACCTCAAAATACTGGGGCAAAGCTTACTGGCCTGGAAGCCACTTGAGAAGCAGGTAGTGCTGAGACAGATCCTTCTGGCCCTCTGTGAAAATAAAGGACAAGTTTATGTCCAACATCACCTAGAAAATGTTTCCTTCCAAAGCTGCCATGGTCTTAAGGAACTCCTTAGGGAGAAGCGCTAAGGAGTTGGCAAAGACAGATTGTTTAACCAAATCTCTTGACAAATAATCTCCCCATCATTGCTACTCAGTCTCTTTGAGTCTCTTTTATAAAATATCTTTATAAAA